TATAAACAAAAACAGGCAGCAGTTGGATTTGACCCAAGAGCTATAGTTTGCAACCTTGATCCAAATAGATACTTTTCCTAATACCATCACACTGGTAATTAGATTTCAAAGTGAGTTTTTAGGAGACAAACATTCAGACCATGGCCAACTCCAAAAGGTTTGAAAACTGCTGATCTAGATCAACTCTAACAAATAGCCCAACTAAGATGTAAATAAGCTAAATAGCTTGTTCTCAGTTGCAGAGTTGGAACTTCTCTCAACTCCCCGTACTGTGTTCTGACACCACTTTCCCATTGATGTTATAGGACAGCAGCAGTGTTGCTGTATGGAAATATGTATGGAGTTCATTAAATTGCTGCATAGAACCAACTTGGAGACAGGGAGCAAATTCCTCCCACAAACGGCTTCATGGGTGTGTGATTTGGCAGTGGTGCAGGGCCCCTATGCATAGAAAGGCACCAGATTTTGTATAATGTTCTGCTGTCAACATCTTGAAATCTGTTGTAATTTTTTAGCAAGGGGCCCTGAATTTTCATTTTTCACTGGGCCTTGCAAATTATGTAGCTGATCCTGCTCTTCACCCCCACATACTTACACAACCCCTTTGTGCAGTAAATAAGACTCCAAAACATCCACAGAGGCAAGATCCCTCTGACTTCATTATTTTAAGAAACAGCTCATAGTCCTGACCCTCTACTTACAACAGTTTCCTAGAGCTGCTGGTTTATTTATGAGCTATACAAACATTTGTGCTTGATGGCCCAAGGCAAAATTTGCAGTCAGCCAAGCAGGGCTTTGAAGTTTGCTTTCCTCCCTGTAGGATCAGCTGATGACATCTATCTCTTCCCCAGCCTACCTCTACATGGGTTCACTACCCCTGTGCTCTCCACACCATTTTTCTACTGCATGACCCTCTCGCCCAGATTAGCATTTGTCCCTTATGTGGCACTTAGTGCCAGATATTTTAGGTCACAGTAAGTAAACTTATTTGTTTGCCTCCAACATTTCTTCCTAACAATAATACATGGATTTTGTTCAGATGCCCACCACTTCCATATAGCCAAATAATTCAGAGGAGGCTGGCTTCATCCCAAAGCCCAAGGTTGGGTCCTAATTGATCTAAGCCCATCATGAAGACTTTGTTTTCCTGCAGGGTCCCTTAGTTCACCCTGCTTTCTTTCTATGTCCTGACCAAAGATCAGGAGAGTGTCTTAATTGCTCTGTGACCCAGTCAACTGCAAGATTTTGCTACCGTGCCGGAGCCGTGAACATTTCTAAGTATCAAGGCCATTGTCCAAAATACTAAGAAACTGAGACAAATTCCTTAAACCTTCATATAAACTCCATACCCTGAACCTCTCACTGATGACACATCTAGAAAGAACACTCCCTTTTCTCTTACTGTCTGCTGCAGAGATTGCTACAGCTCTCTGTAAGTTTCCCTCATAAGCACTTTGGACTGATCACCCTGGTATTTGGTGCTTCTTTCTTTGGAATCTCAACTGGCCCCATCTTGGAGTTTGGAAACTCCCTTGTCATTGCTTTTGGGGTGATTCAAGTCATAGGTTCAGCAAAACAAAATATCTCTGGCCCGGGAACTGCTTTAAGAAGATGTGCAACACAGTCCAGGCCAAAGAATGTGAGTGGTAGGATAGGGTGTTCAGGGTGGGGCTGGGGTCTGGGAAATGTTGCCTTGTTCTTAGAAATATAAGGAAAAGATGCCTTCTTGTTTTTCTTTAATATGTGTGTTACTGTTCCTTAAAAACCAGAATACCGGCTCGGCGCCTATAGCTCAACCGGCTAAGGCGCCAGCCACATACACCTAAGGTGGCAGGTTCGAATCCCCAGCCCGGACCCGCCAAACAACAATAATGGCTGCAACCAAAAAATAGCCGGGCGTTGTGGCGAGCGCCTGTCGTCCCAGCTACTTGGGAGGCAGAGGCAAGAGACTCACTTGAGCCCAGGAGTTGGAGGTTGCTGTGAGCTGTAATGCCACGGCACTCTACCCAGGGGGACAGCTTGAGGCTCTGTCTCAAAAAAAAAAAAAAAAACCAGAATACCTTTCAATCTCATTGTTATGTAGAGTATGGATTTACTCAAGCCAAAGTTTATTTGCATATGGTTTTGAATAACTACCTAAAAAGTAAAATTTTCCCAGAAGAAAAATATATCAAATTCTTCAGAACTGTAAGAACTATATTTATATATTTCACAATTGCTTTAACATTTTAAAATTTTTTACAGACTCACAGGTTATTTTCGAAGATTTACTAATCTACAAAATTAAATCTTGCAAGAGAACATCATTTCCTGATTTAAAAATAGGCAAAAGCCTTCTCAGACTGGACAGACTTCTCACCAAAAGATAGACAGATGGCAAGTGAGCGTATGAAAAGTCCTTCCACGTCACATGCCATTAGGGAAATGGAAATCAAAGCAACGAGATTTCCGTTAGGGAAATGGAAATCAAAGCAACCACTATACACCTCTGAGAATGGGCAGAATCTAGAACATTGACAACAATACTGAGGGAGAGGAAGTAGGGCAACAGGAACTCTTACTGCCAGTGAGAATGCAAAATTATATAGTCACTTTGGATGATTAAACATATTCCTACCACATGATCCAGTAATCACACTCCATGATATTTTCATTTTGAACTCCCAATGAAGTTGAAAAGTTATGTCTGAAAAAAAAAAAAAAAACCTGCACACAGATGTTTACAGCATTGTCAAAACTCAACGTGGTAGCGACCAAGGTGTCCTTCAATAGATGCTATAGATACATTATCTCTACCACTACCACCAGCACCCCTAAATTTACACTTTGGAGCCCTAATCCCAAATGTGACTGTGTTTGGAATTAAAGGCATTAAGGGGTAATTAAAGTTAAATGAGGTCATAAGAATGGGCACCTAATCTTCAAAGATCCTTGGCTTGCACTTAGAGAAAAGGCCATGCGAGGCCACAGTGAGAAAGTGGCTATTTAGAAGCCAAGAAGGAGTCTTCACCAGAAATTGAACTCAGCTGGCCTTTACCTTGATCTTGAACTTGCAGTCTTTTTAACTGTGAGAAAATAAATATTCATCATTTAAGCTACTCAGCCTGTGGTATTTTGCCACCTTAGTTGGTAACCCTAGCCAACTAAGACAGTAGGTGAATGGATAAATAGACTATGGTACGTCAGACAATAGCATATTATGTGGTCCTAAAAAGAAATAAGCTATGAAGTCATGGAAGACCTGGAAGAAACTTAAATGCATATTACTCAATGAAAGAAGCTAATCTGAAACTCCACCATATCAATAATTACATTAAGTGAAAATGTACTGAACACTCCAATTAAAAGACAGAGTTTATTAGATTAGATAAATAAACAAAACTAAGTATGTAGTAGTTAAATAAACAGATGCAAAAGGTGGAAAAGTTATACCATGTAAACATTAAGTATAATGTGACTATGTCATATCAAACCATGTAGACCTTAAGACAAGAAGTACCACTATAGATAAAGTGATTCAGTAACAATAAGGACAATTCATCAACAAGAATCAACAATACTATATGTGTAATTACCTAGTAACAGAACCTCAAATATGTACATGAATCAAAATTGTCAGAAGTAAAAAAAAAAAAAAATCAACAAATACATAACTGTAGTTGGAAGTTTGAATATCCCCTCTCAGTACTTGAAGAACAAGTAGACAAAAATCAGTAAACACATAGATTTGAGCAATAGCATTTTATTTAACTGTTATTTGTAGATCACTGTACCAACTAACTACAGAATATACATTCTGTTCATATACACATGGCTCATGTATCACAGTACACCATGTGTCAAGCTAGAAAGTTTCAATAAATTTCAAATGATAAAAACCATGCAGAGTAATTTTTTGACTATAAAAGAATGAAATTACAAATATATAACATACTGTGTTGTTGGCTGTGCAGAAGATTTTTAGTTTGATCAGATCCCAGTAATGTATTTTTGGTGTTGCTTCAATTGCCCGGGGGATCCTCCTCATAAAGTATTCTCCCAGGCCAATTTCTTCAAGTGTTTCCCCTGCACTCTCTCCAAGAATCTTTATAGTTTCATGTCTTAAGTTTAAATCTTTTATCCAGTGAGAGTCAATTTTTGATAATGGTGAAAGGTGTGGGTCCAGTTTCAGTCTTCTACAAGTCACCAGCCAATTCTTCCAGCACCATTTATTATACATGATCTATGTGTTTATGATTTAATAAATACATAAATAATTAATTAAAAAAATAAATAAAAAATAAACATAGTACCTTATCTATAATAGGCACTCAAATAGTTTTTAAATAAAATGAAAATTACATTGAAAGCAAAAAAAGGAAATATATAACAATAAAATACTGAGAAAATTCTCAAATATTTGGAAATTAAGCCACATAGTTCTAACAAAAGGGCCAAAGATCATATGACAAGTAAAATTAGAAAATAATCTGAATAAAATAATAACATAAATGTGTGAGATGCCTCTATAGTAGGTCTTATCTTAGAGTACAACTTAAAGGTTTAAATGGCTATATTATAAGAAATGGAGTCGGCTAAACAATGGTCTATGATTCTATTTTAAGCTAGGGGAAAAAAGAGCAAATCAAAACCAAGATTAAAAATATAAAAATAAGACAAATATAAGAATGGAAATCAACAAAAGGGAGACAAATAACATAAAAAGTCAAAATGGTGGCTGGGTGCCTGTGGCTCAAATGACTAAGGTGCCAGCCACATACACTTAAGGTGGCAGGTTCGAATCCAGCCCAGGCCCGCCAAACAACAATGATGGCTACAACCAAAAAATAGCCAGGCATTGTGGTGGGCACCTGTGGTCCCAGCTACTTGGAAGGCTGAGGCAGGAGACTCACTTGAGCCCAGGAGTTGGAAGTTGCTGTGAGCTGTGATGCCATAGCACTCTACCCAGGGGGACAGCTTAAGTCTCTGTCTCAAAAAAAAAAAAAAAAAAAGTCAAAATTGTGTTTGCTTCAGCAGCACACATACTAAAATTGGAACGATACAAAGATTAGCATGGCCTCTGTGCAAGGATGACACACAAATCTGTGAAGCAGTCCATATTAAAAGAAAAAGTCAACATGTAACCAATCAATTAAAAGTTGACTCCCTTGCTCTGCACCTGTGGCTCAAGTGGCTAAGGAGCCAGCCACATACACCTAAGGTGGTGGGTTCGAATCCAGCCCAGGCCCACCAAAATAACAATGACAGCTGCAACCAAAACAAATAGCTGGGTGTTGTGGCGGGCGCCTGTGGTCCCAGTTACTTGGGAGGCTGAGGCAGAAGACTCGCTTGAGTCCAGGAGTTGGAGGTTGCTATGAGCTGTGATGCAATGGCACTCCACCCAGGGGGATAGCTTGAGGCTCTGTCTCAAAAAAAAAAAAAAATTGACTCCCTTAAAATATTAGTAAAATTAAAAAATCCCTCTAAAGAAGATCAAAAAAGAGAGAAGATATAAATCATCAATATCACAAATAAAAGAGAAGACATCACTACCGATCTTACAGATATTATACAATTTTCTACCAACAAAAAAATTCAACAAGCTAGATCAAGTGGAAAAATCCCTTGAAAAATACAAACAACCAAAGCTTGTTCACAAAAAATCAAATGTCTTTAATAAAGATTTTATCTGTGAAAGAAATTAAGTTTATAATAAAAATCTTTACCACAGGCCAGGCATGGTGCCTCATACCTATAATCTTAGAACACTGGGAGGCCGAGGCTGTAGGATTACTTAAGCTCTGGAGTTCAAGACCAGCCTGAGCAACAGTGAGATCCCATCTCCACTAAAAATAGAAAAAGTGGCTAGGCATTGTGGTGAGTGCCTGTAATCACAGCTACTTAGGAGGCTAAGGCAGGAGGATCGCTTGAGGTTGCTGTGAGCTAGGCTGATGGCATGGACTCTAGTCTGGGAAACAGAGTTAAACTCTGTCTCAAAAAAGGAGAGAAAACAGTCCTGAATATTCATACGTAAACAAATGGACTACTCTTATCTCACATTATATGCAAAAATTAGCTCAAAATAGAAAATGACCTAAATATAAAAGGTAAAACCATTAGAATATCTGTTAAAAACATAGAACAAGACCTTTGTGACTGGGGTTATGAAAATATTTTAAACGAGGCTAGGTGCCTGTGGCTCAAGCCGCTAAGGCGCCAGCCACATACACCTAAGGTGGCGGGTTCGAATCCCCAGCCCGGGCCTGCCAAACAACAATGAGGGCTGCAACCAAGAAATGGCCAGGCGTTGTGGCGGGCGCCTGTGGTCCCAGCTACTTGGGAGGCTGAGGCAGGAGACTCGCTTGAGCCCAGAAGTTGGAGGTTGCTGTCAGCATGATGCCATGGCACTCTACCTAGGGGGATAGCTTGAGGCTCCGTCTCAAAAAAAAAAAAAAAAAAAAAAGAAAATATTTTAAATGAGATGAAAAGCACTAACCATAAAAGAAAAAAACTGATAATTTAGGCTTAATGAAAATTAAAATTAAACATTTTTTGCCCAGCAAAAGAATATCTTTAATATGAATATGTAAGCCACAGACTGAGGATGAAAATAATTTTAATACATATATCTTATCTGACAAAAGACATGTATCAAAATACATAAAAAATTTCTAAAATCAAGAAATAGTTTGAAGAACACCTGACAGAAGAGGTGTATAAATGGCCAGTAAATGCATGGGAAGGGTCCCAACTTCCTTAGTTATGAGAAATGCAAAATAAACCCACAGTGAGACACCATTATATACTAATTAGAATGCTAATGAGAGTTACATGGACCAATTAGAACTCTCATACATTGGGATTGGGATTGTAACATGGTATAACAGGGTGTACCATTGGAGAGTGTAACATTGGAGAACTCTAAAGTTAAACACTCTGGAGAAATGCTAAGTTAAATATAAATTTACTCTTGGCTCAGGAAGGAAAGGGGATGGGGGAGAAGAGAGAGAAAACTGAAAAAAAAACACCAAACTGTCTATCAACAGGAGCATGAGAAGCATAGTACATTCATACAATTGAAAACTACTCATTAGTAAAAGGAACAAACTACTAATGCACCAAACTGAACACAGTGAATTTCAAAACCGTCAAATGAACAAATCTAGACACAGAGTTGTAACTCTGTAACAGGAGGCTGCATAGTGTACATCATCTACAAGAAATTCAAGAACCACAAAAGCTCGTCTATGGTGGTAAAAATGAGAACAATGGTTGTTTCTTGGTGTGAGAAAGAATTGCCTGGCAAGGAGCCATGAGAACACATTCTGGGATGATAGAAATGATTTATATCTTGTTTTGAATAGTGTTTATATAGTATATGAAATTGTCAAAACTCAGTGAAAGAATACTTAATATCTATGCATTGTTTATGTTAATTATACCTTAAATCCTATTACAGTTTATAAATTACATGTTATACTTTAAGAATGTTAATTTTTTAAAAAACCCATAGGATTTCGCTATTTTTACTCAGAAGTTTGTTCTCATTTTGTTCTGATCATCCCTTTATTTTGAACATAAGGCATAACTGATTGTTCTCCGAATTCTCCATTAACCTCTCACCAAAATTATTACAAAACTGACTCAACCCAAAGGAATAATAGCATGACAAAAATGGTGTGTGAGATCATTATTTTTACATCTGTGTACAGGTGACTGAAATAAAGAAAGATGGAGAAGATGCTTTCATCAAATGTCCAGCATGTGCATACACAGTGTCTGGACACCAACATGGTGGAGATGCTGCCATTACACTATGTGGTGCCCTGGTTCTTTGGTGACCCCCAAAGAAGTCCTGTGTCTCCTCCTCTTGAATCTGAGCTGGCCCCATGACCAATTTTGACCAATAGAATAAGGAAATGGCCCTGGCAGCTTCTGCTTTTGTACTCTTGAAAGCCCTGAGCTGCCATGCAAGACATCTGGCTACCCTGTTGGAGATACCACATATAGAGGCCTTGGGGAGACGCCATTTGGGAAGGGAGATGTCATGAGTGACATGGAGAGGAAGGGAAGAACCCAACAACAGGAAGAGCAATGACCCCAGCAGAGTCACTAGAAACAGCTCCCACCATTGGAGACTCCCTAGTGGAGGCAGCAGATATGGAAGTAAGGAAACATCGTGGACATTCTAGCCCTGATAGACGTGATGATGTGGAGCAGAGAAGACAGGAGTCATCTCTGCTGTTCCCCATCTGAATTCCAACTCACAGAATAGTAAGAAATAATAAAACAATTGTTGTTTTAAGCCAGTACATTTGGGGGTACTGTATTATATAGCACTAGATCACTGAAAGACACCTAATAAACTCTAGAGAGAAGCTAGGGCCAGGAGGAACAGTTAGGAGACAAAATGAGAAAGAGCAGAGGAGGTGGAGGCAGGTGCATCATGCTGAGGAAACACGAGGACGCCAGAAGCATAGAACTGTGCTTCAGATGATCCGCTTCACCCATAGGATGCCTTTAGTCTGCTACTCTAATGAGGGATAACATCACTGGGTCAGAGTAGGGCACCAAGGAAGAACAGCCTTAAAAGCTGTTTCTGCCAGTTTGATGAAACCTAAGGCATATCGACTTCTTTAAAAGATATTTTTAGCCTACACTTCTGTATTGGGATTCTCCTTACGGTTTTCAGCTGAGGTTATAAAATTGAGATTGCTTTAAGTGGTCCCAAATGATTTTCTAGATGAGGAAGGTGTTCTTTAAAAAAAGATTATGCATTAAGATAGCGCACTACTATTACGTTTATATACCTGTAACAAATTAAGCTGCAGCTTCGTCTGTGAAATTCTGCAGATGGCTCCAATCTACATCTGCAAGGCCAGCTGTACCATCTGTATGTGGTGCTATTTTGAGACTCACACTTAAGCCGCAAATAAAAGACACATGAAGCTTGCAGGGGCTGAGTTGTCTGGACCTGGCTGCTCTTAAGAAGCCAAAAAGAACTGACTTACTAACCATGGTTGAAGTTGTAAGCACTGGCAGAGTGACAGGACTATTAGCTGCCCTGTTTTTCTTTCTTTTGTCATTACCTTCATTCCCTTCCCTGCAAAATAGTCATTTTAATGGTACCTTTGTTATAAGATTATCATGAGGATTAAATAAGTGTGTAAAATATTTAAAATAATGACTGGCATGAAGTAGTAAGCTCTCAATAATAAGTTTTCCTATCATATAATTCCTTATATGCACCATATTATCCATTCACTTATTCAACAAAAGCACCTTATCATTTTGTGTTGAGTATCAGGCAGAATTCCAGTTACTTTGGATGATATAATGGTGCAAAAGACACTAGCTAACTTGTCGGGAAAAAAAAAGTTCTGCTTACTTACATGTTTCAATTACTTCATGCAATTTGGTATGGTTTGAAAAGATAACCAACACTGCTAAGCTAAACACCGCATATGATAGCTCACTTCCATTTACCGTATATGATCACTCACCACTCAGGTCTCTGAGTCAGAAATCCTATTTCATTAATAAAGCTTGAACGGCTAGGAAAATATTAAGAATCAAGATAAATACTAAGGTACTAAGAAGAACCATTATATAATTTCTTTTAGAAATATTTAAATTGAAAGTAAGAGAAACCAACACTGGTTCTTTCAAGTATAAAGAGAATTTATAGGAAAGCTATTGAGAGTTCACATCACTGGAGGGATGCTGGCAGACCAAACTTTGAATGTGAGCCCACACCAAAGGCAGCATTGAAGGGAAGAAGCAAGAAGTTTGGGGAGAACTGCTGCCCCTGCTGTCACTACAGGTATAATGTTCTTGGTGGGAAAGTTTAATTAACTGAGCCCTGATCCCAAGACCAAATCCTGACACCTAGGAGGGAAGGAGAGAGAAGATATACCCATTTTGGCTACTATAATTAGGAGTAGTAACCTGTCTTCCATCAAGACTATTCTAGTGGTGTATTATTCCAAACAGGAGGGAAAGTTTGGAGAGTGGATGGCCAGCATTTAGATGTTAATCTTTTCCAAAAATACGTTCACAGACACACCCAGAATAACGTTTGATCAAATATCTAGGTACCCATTGGCTCAGTCAAGTTGACACATA